GGTGGGAAGGGGTATTGCTGGGAGCCCACTCTGCACGGGCGCCCTAGCCTTTCTCTCTGCAGCAGGTGGTTACTGTGGTGGGAAGGGGTGTTTGCTGGGAGCCCACTCTGCACAGGCGCCCTTACCTTTCTCTCTGCAGCAGGTGTACTGCGGTGGGAAGGGGTGTTTGCTGGGAGCCCACTCTCCACGGGCGCCCTTACCTTTCTTTCCGGAGACTCCATCATCTTCCAGTCATTGAGCCGCAGCCGCTGCAGCTCATCGAACTTCATGCTGACGTCCTCGACAGAGAGCTGCAGCATGTCCCAGTAGCCGGCCAGGTCCTGCGATGTTGGCCTCGGCATGGCGCTGGGGTCCTGGGAACACACACAGGGTGTTCAGATCGGGAGAGTCTCCCACAGGCGCAGGGTGGGGAGGCCTAATCTGCCTTTCACGAGGCAGATTAGGGAGAAGCCTGACTGATTCTGCCCCGAGGCAAATATTTGGGATCGCGTGCCATGCCTTGATGACAGTTTACTTTAGCGCAAGTATTTGCTGATGGCTTAAAAATAGGTAGCACAGCCGCCGTTCATTGTTCCACATTGAAATTGCCGGGAATGGGGCTGATGGGAGATTTTCTAAATGCTTGACAGCTCATAAAAGCAGTAGGACCCTGTGTTTTTGGTCACCTGTGGGTGATTCAGAAGGGACAGGGCTCTGTGAGCCTGCCGTGGTACTGGCGTGGTGGTGGCGGCGGGTAGCCAGCTTGGAGCCTGTTCTAGACCTGTGTGTTCTCTGACAGTTCTTGGCTCTGGTTCTAATGGCAAGGACATCTTAAAATATAACGTGCCAAGGAACAGGATGCTCTCACCAAGTGGCTCCCACCTGTAGAGGCACAGGTGAGGCTCTGGGCTGCAGCCCCGGGAAGCGTGGGGCCCAGAGATGTGCTTGGTTTCTCTGCAGGGTGCCTGATACACAATTTCTACCAGCTGCCTACATCTACGTATTTCTTTTTGAGATAGGGTCTCGCTCTGTCACCCAGGCTGGAGTGCAGGTGTGATCGCGGCTCACTGCAGCTTCGACCTCCTGGGCTCGAGATCCTGCCTGCTCAGCCTCCCAGGTAGCTGGGACCACAGGCATAGGCCACCACACTCAGCTGATTTCTTTAATTTTGTAGCGATGGGGTCTGGCTATCTTGCCCAGGATGACCTCAAACTCCTGGGGTCAAGTGACTCTCTTACCTCAGCCTCCCAGAGTGCTGGGATTACAGGCATGATCCAGCATGCCCAGATTGCTGCCTATGTTGAAATCTGAATAACTTTTCCAGGAGTGGTTCCCTTGATTCGGTGGGGGCTCAACAGTTTCTGGTGGGTGGACATTCAGCTGGATTTGCTCATGGGTTCAGCAGTCACACTCAGCATGACCTGAACTTCTGTTTTGTTCGACATCCACATCAAAACAATCACGGTTCGGCTCCCACCCCCTTCTCTGGCACCCACCTGAGGGCAGCCGCCCCCCGGGAAGAGCAGCAGGGGTGAAAGCTGAACGGACAGCTCTGTGACTGGGGTCCCTGGCTGCCCACCTCTCGGCCGAGTCCGTTCTTCTCTGTGGCCACATGAGGGCAGCCTTGGCTGCTCAAAGCCCAGGCAGGCACTTGAGCTCCCCAGAAACCCAGGGAGGGTGGCCCTGGCCACAGGCGGGAGCCTGAACTCAGCCTCTGTGGGTGCGACAGCCACAGTGCCTGGGAACCAGCCCATGTTCTGCACCGAAGTCAGCCGAGGCCTGCCGGGGCGCAGGGCAGGGTGGGAAGCTGCTCAGATGCTGCGGGGGTGCTGCCTGCCTGGCTTCCAGAAGTCTCTGTCAACCTAAGAACATCCCCTCTTTCTGTAGGGCTGGGCATGGCTGTTCCTGATGGCATGGGGGATGCGGAGTGGCTTCTCCGGTGCCCACCGCTGGGTGGTCCCAGTCACATGTCCACATGGCCAGCTGCTGTGGCGGAGGCTGCCCCGGCCTGAGAGCAGGAATTGCCTTCTCATGCCCCTCTCCTTGGCCAGCCACACTCCCTTCTTTTGGGCTCATGCAGACCACACGCTGGGCTGGACGGGCACAGCCTGGCAGGGTCAAGATTTAGTTTTGTGTTTTCTGTTCCTTTTGGTGGGGGAGGCGGTTGCATCTGTACCCACTGAGCATTCAGAGACGATAAGGTGTTTATTAAAAAAAAGTCAATGGTTTATAATACGATAAAGCCAATGGCAGGGCCTTGTTCCTTGTTAAATGGCCGTCTTAAATTCATCCAGCTCTGTGGCTCTGGCATCCAGCGTCCATTGTGTCCTGTGTTGTGGCCTGGGGCAGCTCTATGTGTACTGGTGGGTTCTCGGGCGCACAGTCCCCTGGGGTCGGATGAACTAAAATTCAGAGGCAGGCTCAGTGGGTCCAAATGAGACTGAGGATGTCAAACTGCTGGTCTCACAAGCACAGCAATCAGGCCGCACGCTTTGAGGGAATGATGTTCTCAGCATTTTTTTTAAGGCGGAGTCTCGCTCTGTCACCCAGCCTGGAGTGCAGTGGTGCAGTCTTGGCTACCGCAGCCTCCGCCTCCTGGGTTCGAGCAATTCTCCTGCCTCAGCCTCCTGAGTAGCTGGGACTACAGGTGCATGCCACCACGCTGGGCTATCTTTCCAGTATTACATGCCTTCTGTTTGCGTCACAAGCCACCTGCGCATCCTGATCCCGAGAGAGTCTGCTCCCTGTGGTCCATCCTCAATCTCAGGGTGGGGTTCTGACATTTTCTAGGGTCACTCTTTGACTTAAAGATTAGTTCCTTACTGACAGCCTCCAGCAGGCAGCGCTGCTGCACGGAGCTGTGGACGATTCAGTTCAGCTTTGTGGAGCAAAGCATCTGTTAACGCGTTCAGCGCTCCCCTGCGCCAGGCCTGTCGCTGGCACCACCCCCTCCCCACACCACTCCTTCCCGGCAAACATTTCAGAGATTTTTTTTTTTACTACTCCTGAGTAGAAGTTGAAAGAAAATGATGTAGCCAAGCCCATGATTTCAAAACTCAAAAGGCATAACAATATTAGGATGAATAATTTTAAGCCCATTATTAGCGATTTCTGGCAGAGCAGAAAGGAACACTTAGGCCTGAATGTGCACGTTGGGCTGTGTGTGGGGAGCTCTGAACGAGACTTTCCTAAAGACAGTGCCTGGCTAGGCTCACCCGAGTCATTATATTACACAGAGTTTGTCAGTGGCCAGAATCAATTCCTGTGAAGGGAATAAGCACATAGATCCTACGGAGAAGGCAAGAACGTTCACAGGTAACATGATAGCTCAGTGTTTCTCTCAAGGTACTCAAAACCTTTCTGTTTCCCCCTTTTAAATGATGACTATGACTTTGTCAGAGTGACTTGTTGATGACTCTTTAAATTCCTGGTGAATGTCAATGGGGGTGATTGGAAGGTGTTAGAGAACGCATACTTTTGAATGATCCTAATGAAAAGAGGTGAGATGCAACTCTGGCTTGCTTGTATGTCCTTTGATGTGGAAGAACATTCTTATGTCTCTTTGCACATGAAAAAGCCAAAGAAAACAAAACTCCTGGCAGCATTGCTACCAACCAGAGGCCTCGTGGAGACCTATTTGCATTTTACTGAAAATGTCTGGTCTGAAAAAAAATCAACGTATGTATTGTAAAACAACCTATTCAGTAGCATAACTATCACTTAGCTATTTCTCAAAGTAGAGTGAATACCTTAGTCAGGAAAGTATATTTACATGTATGTGTGTACGCAAATGTATATCTAAAATATATTAACATGTATATGTACACTTACACATATAGTATATATAAAATATATTTGTACATATGTGTAGGTGAATATATAACAAAAATATATTAATATGTAAACTTACATATATTTTATACATGCTATATATTTGCCTACACATGTACTACATATATTTTATATATACTATACATTTGTATATATAAAATAGTTAACATGTTATATGTTATATGTTAGTGTGTATAAGTAAACTTTCATATACATGTTAATGTTTATGTATAAATACATCTATACATGTTTATGTAGATGTATATATAAACATAGATGCATATGATTCTAATATAATATATATGAGACGGATACATGAGCTTTTCTGCTCGGCCAGAAATAGCAAATATACATTTATATATTAACATGCATATATATTTATAAGGATATATACATGTATATTAGCATGTATGTAAGTATATGTAAATATAAATGCGTCTGTGGGTTTTCTTTCTCTTTGCTTGTCAGGAATAACCAAGTTTAATGCCAGCTATATTAATGCATCTGGTTCCTGGTATATTTGTTTCACTATCATCTATAAAATACAAAGGCTAATATTATCTGCAAATCTCTTCTTCATTGTAGTTATGTGTTTTTCCAGCCACCTCAGATCATTTTCTTCATTTGTGACATGAGGCATATAGAAATTTCCATGGTTTCTCCTCTTCTAAGATGCTCTGGTGGGACATCCAGTTGCAAAGACACAGCCTCTTCCCACGCTGCTGTGGCCCCGTCTTCCTGCCCCCTGCTCCCCTGGCAGCCTCCCTGCCTCAGTGCCATGTTTCAACCAGGGCCATGCCGTCTCTGTCCCCAGTGTGGGAAGTATCTTCTATGATAAATGGGTGTGATACTCTGCATACGATAGGAACTCTTTGACAAGGAAAGAACAGCGAGGGCCTGTGGAACGATGCCCATTAGCTTGGTTACAGGGAACAGGGGTTGTCTGAAGATTCACTTACCATATTCTGTTGGCAAAGCCAATAGAACTGCTGGAATTTCTGGGACATGAGAAGCTGGGCACTCCCAACAGCACTCCTGATTTTACCAAGAACTGTTGGAAAAAAAAAACAAAACAGCTTCAAAACTGGGTCAATCAAACAAAAGCAGAAACACCACATGGAGGGAGCAGGTTCCACTGGATGAGAACTCTGGCTTCGTCGTGCAGAGCGATCACTGCGGGGTTGTTCCTCAGTCGGCTGCATCCCCAACTCATGAAGGAAATGCAAAGACGACTGAATGTCATGGTGAGGACACTCTCCTTGGGTATGGGGAGAAACTTGGTTTAGGAAGGCGGCCTACACTTCAGGGAGTTTTCCTTGTTTTGGCATCGAGATGATTTCAGTGCCACTGTTCAGATGAGCTGGAAGACACAAGACCACGAGTGAGTGACAGCGACATCAGATTCCTCCTATTTTTTATGGACTCTAATGTGCCAGTGAACCCTGTTAGAAAAAAACGCATCCATATGTGTTCTCTCATTGGATTCAGTTAAGTAATTTTTAGTGAACTGTGGGCAGCTATGTCCTGGCAGTGCTATTATGTAGGAAGAGGCCGCATGGACACAGGCCACATAGGAAGATGGTGGCAGCTAGGAAGACACGGCTCCCCTCCTGGAGATGGCGAGAGGGTCACGAGTTCCCGAATATGCTTACACCTACTAAACTCACCAATGCATGTACCTAGTGTATGTGTAATGCTAACCCTACACTTCTGAGTGTGCCACAGCTTAGTGAGGCAGGAAGGATTAATCTACAAAGGTTCCTAATTGCGATGACTTTATTTGGTTAAATAGTAAAAATATTAAAAAGTAAAGAATAAACTGTGTGTATATGTGTGTTTATTTTTATTTTTTGAGATGGAGTCTCGCTCTGTCATCCAGGCTGCAGTGCAGTGGTGTGATCTTGGCTCATGGCAGCCTCCGCCTCCTGAGTTCAAGTGATTCTCTTGCCTCAGCCTCCCGAGTAGCTGGGATTACAGATGCCCACCACCATGCCCAGATCATTTTTGTATTTTTAGTAGAGATGGGGTTTCACCGTGTTGGCCAGGCTGGTCTAGAACTCCTGACCTCAGGTGATCTGCCTGCCTCAGCCTCCCAAAGTGCTGGGGTTACAGGCGCAAGCCACCACACCCGGCTTGTGTGTATTTGTGTGTTTTCGAGACAGGCTCTTGCTCTGTCACCCAGGCTGGAGTGCAGTGGCATGATTCTATACCCTCCAATTCCTGAGCTCAAGCCATCCTCCCATGTGGCCGCCGGAAAGCGCTGGGATCAGTTGTCAACTACCATGACTGGCCGCAGTATAGTTCTATCAAGGGAGAAATTTAACAACTTTAAGAAAGATAGGGGCATTTTAAAAATTGCATTTAGACTAGTCAAATAAAATACTCTGTTCAAGGGGTGTAGGGAAAACCCCACACCTCCTGTCTCCAAGCCTTCGAGCTGTCTGGCTTTTCGCCTTCCCCTGTGGGCACACCCACTCCTGAGTCTGCAGTGAGCATGGCCACTGCTTTGTAAATGATAGCTTTGGTAGATCCTAGGGATCCTCGAAAGCACACAGGAATCCCCTGGAACCCATGTCTTACCGCTACACCCTGGGCCCACTGATTTCTGCTAGATTTTATTTGCTGGAGCAACAATTCAACATGATTCCATAGAGTGTGCCCAGTACCAGTATGTGGCTTTTCTGTGCCTGGGTCAGCACTTGGGGCTGGGGCTGCCCACCAGGCGGGAGGCAGATGATCTAAGCATCTCATCGCTTCTCCATTTACACCACGTCTCCCCATTGTTAGTTTTCAGCGTGTGTGCTCCCAGGTGGGCACGTCTTTCCTGGAGCTCACTCACGGGGCATCTGCTGCTGCTTCTGGCCAAACTGATGATTTCACCTGCTCTTTTTGTTCTCCCTGGGGATTCTCTGCAGAGCACAAATCACTAACCTACACGACACACCCTAAAACTCAAAGTGCTGCTGGCATAACTGGTCCAGCCTTTTGCCTGCTTTCGCTGGAAGGAAGCCATGTGAAGCCAACTCACCAGGGCTGGTGGAAAATGGCATAGGAAAAGGGGCATTTATCCTGGGATTCGCCCCCTCAAAGGCAGAGGCAAAAGATCCATCCCCACTTACACCTGCAGCTTTATGTTCTTCACAAGGGAATACTGATGTCCTGGAGGTTTTGCCCAGAGACGTGCAGGTGCCTGGAGCTCAAGGGACCTTGCAGACCCACCTGTGACTTGCCTGGGGATCTCGTGCCAGGCCTGGCCTGACTCACTAGGTCTGGGTGGGGCCAGAGAGTTCCTTTCTTTTGAGTGTTCAGGAGATGCCCCTGCTGGCTCCCAGGGCACACCTGACTATGGAAGCCTACAGAGCATTTCCAGACGTTGAAACCCAGGTCCAGGGATGTAAACTCAATCCCCATAGGTTCTTCCACAATGGCTCTTTCTCCAAACATTCCTTAAGAGTCAGTCCGAGAGCCAGTTACTTGTGAGATTCATTCCACACGATCCAGAAACCGGCATTACAGACCCTGGCATCCCGCCGCAGAAGCTAGGGCTGCTGCGGTGTCTCCTCCTTAGCCTGACTTCAGGGAAAAGGAACCACAGGTTGTGGCCACAAACGGCCTTACTCTTCATGTAATAAAATGCTCTGAGCCAGTTGAAAATGCTGTTGCAGAGATAACCTGGATTGGAAAGGGCTTATGACATGCTGTGACCTAGAAGCCAGCCACGCAACAGTGTGATGGCCACTCACTTTTTAGAACACGAAGGCCTGGCATTCTGTATCACATGTTCTTCACAGTGATTTTCTCCTGGGTGAGATAGTGGACATAAAAATGCATTTTTCTGCTTTGTCTTATTTTTTTTAAAAACGAAGATAGTTTTGCTCCCGAAAGTTTTATTATGAAATCTTTCACACATGCAGACGACTGGAAAGTGTAGCCCACAGCTCTCTCCCCGTTCTGTGGAGACAGCAGTTACTGTTGTCATGTGGTATCTTTTCCTGAGCCCTTTACCCGCAACTACCCTGGAGAACCAGGGTCACTGTCACCCCCATGAAGGTGGCCGTAATTCCTGAATATGGTCTAATTCTCTGTTGCTTCTAGAGAATGAAAAAGATGAAAAAGCTATAAGTTTTAATAAAAGGAAATAGCTCGGATGACACTTTGGCATTGTCTGTCTCGAAGAGAAGGATGGAGGGTTGTCTCCTGGGCACCTCAACACCAGGGCCTCCTGCCGTTCACAAGTCTGCGGAAAGAAGGTTTGCTCTTCCTTGGATCTGATTTGCCAGCCAGCCTGGGAACGGAGAAGGGAAAGGAGGACTTGAGAAGAAGCTGGGAGCTGCTGGCCACGTGGCACAGGATGGAGCTGGCAGGGCTCTGAGTTGGGGTGAGTCTGGGGGTGTGGGGGGAGAGTGAAGGGGCCCATGCATTCGGTGGAAAAGCAGCTGGAGGTGGTGGGGCTTCAGCGGTTTCTTGCAGGGGTGACAGCGAAAGTGCCTCACTCTTCCTCCACGTGCTGATGCCCCCAGAATGAACGTGTTCTGCAGCCCTGGTCTCATTGATGACGAGGGGAGGAATTGTCTTTGTTTTTGAAATGCTGAATTTTGGCCAGGCACCATGGCTTACACCTGTAATCCCAGCAGTTTGGGAGGCTGAGGCACGTGGATCTCTTGAGGTCAAGAGTTCGAGACCAGCCTGGCCAACATGGTGAAACCTCCCCTCTACTGAAATTACAAAAATTAGCCAGGCATGGTGGTCCACACCTATAATCCCAGCTACTTGGGAGGCTGAGGCAGGAGAATTGCTCGAACCAGGGAGGCAGAGGTTGCAGTGAGCTGAGATTGCGCCATTGAACTCCAACCTGGGTGACATGAGCAAAACTCCAACTCAGAAACAAAAAACAGAAAAAGAAATGTTGAATTTTGATTTCTTTTGTATTCAAAAACCTGCATAATTGATGAAGATGTTTAAAGGGATTATTTTAAGCAAGTTGTTGCTACAGAAATATATAGAAGTGGATGAATAAATGTTTTTTTTTTTTTTAATTTTTTTTTTTTTAACTCTATGGTTCCAAAAACTGTAACTAAAAAGTCAGTTTTTAAAAAAAATTTTGAAGTTTAATCCCCAATTTTCACATTCCTCTTAAAGTGAAATTCAACTGAACTGTTAATACAACATACTTCAATGTATACTCTTTAGCACAACATGAATACATGGGCAATATCTTGGTATCGATTTAATGTAGTGAAGAGTTATTATAAAGGGTATAAATTGAATATTGCTGGGGAGAGATAATGAATGTCAAAGAGTGTAGCTAATGACATGTCTGCTAATGGCAGGAGAATTTTGCTGTTCAGTGAATGAGAATGATTTTATCTGATGCCTATAATGTAAATAGCTTCCTATAATTGCAAAGAAGTTGAAGTGAAAATTCAATTTATTCTCTTCCAGTATACGTCTCTAATTTTGAAATAGTTTAGACACTTTCAAGAGTTGCATTAAGGACTAATTCTCATCAGAATGCAAATTCACAAAGAACCTGCTAGAACCTGTGCTTTTGATGTACATAGAAATTTGATTAACATACTTGGCTCTTTTATTTTTTCTAGAATTCCAATTCTGTCTAAATTTGCTATGAAGTAACATAATGTACAGTTTTCTGGTGCTCTAATATTTGGAGTTTTATAAAATTTGCAAAGTATATGAAATGATCATTTGAGTACCTGTAACCTCTCTGATCCCCTGAGATTCCCTTGTGACTAATTTTGTAGTGGGGTCTGCCAAAGCTACGCCTCCCAGAAATCTCCTTTCAAGATCTCAGCCTCAGTATCTTCATGTTTTTGAGCACACGTTTCTTTTTGTGTTTTTAATGGCTTTGTCACAGTTGTGCATATTCTTGGGGGCACATGTGCTATTTGGACACATGTCTACAATGCGCTATGATCAAATCAGGGTGACTGGGACATGCATCACCTCAAACATTGATCTTTGTGTGTTGGAAACATTACAGTTCTTCTAGCTATTTTGAAATGTGCAATACACTATTTACTTTTTTCTTAT